ATGATTCTCAAAAAAACTGAAGGCTCCCCCAGCAGTTTCCTAGGAGTTGGGTTTTGTAGACCCTTGGTTTTATCTTTTCAGTTTCTTTTCTTTTCTTTTTAATTTGGTACCAGGCAGTTGTCTCTGAATGAATAAAGCTTGCGTGGCCTGGGTTAAATACCCAGTTGCCCCTGCACCCTTATTCAGTGTACTTGCCTCACCTCGGCCCGGGAGAACTTTAAGCTTTGCCCATTGGTCTGCAGCCTGCTGTTGACTCTATTTAAATGTTGCCATCAAGTCGCATCTGACTTATTGCAACCCGATGAATGAGCCATCTCCAAAATGTCCCGTCTTCAACGGCCGTGCTGAATTCTTGCAAACTCAATCCTGTGGCTTCCTTTAAGGAGTCCGTCCATCTCAGATTTGGTCTTCCTCTTTTCCTGCTGCCTTCAACTTTTCCCAGCGTTATTGTCTTTCCCAGAGAATCCTGCCTGCTCAGGGTGTGACCGAAGCAGGACACCCTTAGGTTAAACAATTTTGCCTCTAGAGATCTAAATATTAGGCATTTTAAAAATCGCAGACAGTTTACCCTGCTCTCAGTCCGCTGAGACAATTCTCCTTTTCTTGCCTTACAGATGAGATGAAAGACCTTCCCCCTCACAGCGGCGCGGTCACAGCTTTGGCTTGGTCCCCCGACGGAGAATTTGCCGTGTCTGGCAGTGACCAGGGCGACCTGGTTGTCTGGCATCAAGCTCGGGACGTGGGAACAGCGAAGGTATCCAATGCTATGGGATGCACCCTCAAACTCGGGAGTGGGGAACCTGGTGCCGTCTAGATACTCCTGGACTACAGTTCCCATAAGGCCAAGTCAGCATGGTTCATGATCAAGGGTGTCAACGTTGTGACAGCAACTTTTGGAGAACTACAGGTTTTCTGTCCTTGCTGGGAGGCAGGAAGGCTGCCCCTGGTGGCTGGACTAGGGACTGCGAGCTGTGGATGGTGAATTGTCCTCTGGCTGCGCTGCAATGTCCGTCCTTTAGGGCCGGCTCTGCTATTAGGTAGAGCGAGGTAGCCGCTTCAGCAGCAGATTTTTTGGGGGTGTTTTTTCTGTGCTGTCAAGCCAGAATTGACTTATAATGACCCTAATAGGGCTTTCAAGGTAAGGAAAATATTTAGGGAGTGGCTTTACCCATTTCACACACACACCCCAGTGAGTTGTCATGGCTGAGCGGGGATTTGAACCCAGGCCTCCTGAATCATAGCCTGTCATTCTGTCGACAACGCCGTACTGGCTATCTTTGGGTGTGACGAACAGCACCAAGCAGACGGTAAATTTTTTAATAATTTAGTGGAATATTTTTAGAGTTGTACCTCTAGGTTTGTAAGAGGTGTAAGATTTTCTACCTCATTTGCCCAAATCATCCACGTGCATTTAGACACTGTGTACCTTGCCTTACGTGAAGCATGGCGCCCTTTGCGGCTCTGCCTCAGGCAGCAAAAAAATGTTTGGGCGACCCCTTCCTGCCCTACTCCACCTTCTGTGATCGGGGCGTGTGTGTTAGGGGGTGTAGCCTCACTGGAGGAGCCCTAGCAGACTGGATTCCGTTGGTGGCCTGTGTTGTACTGAGTTCGCCCGTGGTTCTGCTCTCCAGGTTGGCCGGTGTTGCATCCGCGCTTTGGCCTTCACGTCGTCACGCACGGTTCTGGTGGCGTCCGACGACATCAGCCTTTGGGACATCAAGACCAGCCGGCAGCGTGATGGGGGAGTCAGGTGAGGCCAGACCACCCAAGCAGGACCCCCGGGACCCCCACCTTTTAACCTCAGAGCTTTGCTCTGAGCTTCTGTGTTTGAAGTCTACAGGGTGTGAATCAGACTTCATCATCATCATCTTAGAACTGTAGAGCTGGAAAGGATCCTATGATTTGTTGAGTCCAGCCCCTGTCGGGGAGGCACAGAATGGAATCAGACTCCTTAACCTCTCGCTCTGCAGAGACTTAGACCTCTGAGCGATCCGCAGGAGAAGCCATGATAAAAGAAAGCTCTTCCCTGACCATTTATAGAGCCTCCTTTTGTCTTTGGGGAAAGGGTTGGTTTGCCATCGATTCTGGAGAGACCAAAGGAAGGTTTTTTTTCCCCCACCCAGTGTTATGACTTGAGAGAATTCGCTTCCGCAAGGGGTTCTGGCTTATTAAAAAGAAAAAGCTGAGAAAGGAAGCTGAAACAAATGCATGGAGGGAGAGGTCTGTCAAGGGACATGATCCCATGCTAGCCGATGGAGCCTCCCTATTTAGAAGCAGGATACCTCAGAATATTGGACGACGGCTGCAAAATATGGGGGAAGGCTATTCCCTTCATGGCCTTCTTTAGGCTCCTCGTGATATCTAGCTGACCCGTTTTGGATGCAAAATCCTGGCTTGCTGGTTTTCTGGCTTGACCTAGCAAAGCAATTCTTCTGTATGGCTAGGTGAAGAAAGGACTCTGGGGTCACTAGCCTTGGCTTCCAAGCCTGCTTGACCAGTTCAGTAGCCACGATCCCTCCATGCATCTTTCTCAGCCATTCAAGGACCTGCTCTTCAAACCCAGCCCCTGCTTGGCGTCCCTAGCATGTCTGTGACATTGAGTCTCTCTCTCTCCCTCTCCCTCGTCCTTTCCCTGTTGCTTAGCTTGACACTCAGGAAACTGCTGCGCAGCGCAGAAGAGGCCTCGGTGCTCTGCCTGGGGAAGCCCAGTCCTCGGGGCCCCCTAGTCCTCGCACTGGCTGATGGAGACCTTCTGGTGCTCCCACCAAAGTCCGAGGACTTACAGACGAGCCCGTGAGTAGCGGAAGAGCAGAGGGACGGAACATCTGGGAGCAGGGCTGGGGAGGGAGCGGTTGACCGTCAAGAGCACATGGAACGTGGTCCTCTGTCTCTCGCTGCCGGGCAACACAGCCAGGGGCGAAGGATGCTGGAAGCTGCCAATCAAGAGCATCCCATACGCTGCACTGTGGGTCCACTTGATCTTCACCTCCTTTCCTCAGGTACAGCGGTGGAGCATGGGACAAGAAGGTCCATGTGGGCTTTGAGATCAGCGCCCCGGAAGATGAGGAAGAGGGTGGCGTCCTTCACATTTGGGACTCCATGAACAGACCTAACTTGTTCAGGATGGTGAGTGACCACTGTGGACAGGATCCGGGGTAGTGCCCGAAACGTAATCAGGCTCAGCTTTCCCCTATTGATGTTTCAGTGATCACCTTTGTCTTACAAAGACCTGTAAACTTTTTCGAAATACAATGCTTTAAAAAAATATAGATATATTCCTTTCAACATTTTATCTTCTAGAGACAACGGATTGCTTGTTTGTTTGTGTTTTTTTAATAGGCCCCAGGCAGCTCACAGTATTCAAATTAAAACATCACAAGTTAAATATTAAAAAATTAAAAAACGATGCTCAAATTAAAATGCAGTTGAGTATTTTAATGTTAAGAAAGCATGGGTCTTCCACTCTTAAGTAATGATTTAAAACATTTGCATGTTAAAGCGAATGCATGATTCCCAGCTCTGCCGGGAGCCAGCCCAGTTGCTACTGCCTGCATATCCAGGTTCTACCCAGTTCATGCCCCTCAAAGCTCCTTTTTGTCTGCTCTTCCTCCACCAACCCCCGCATCCACTAAGCATAAATGATTTCCAGGAATTTTTCGGTCCGGGCTGTCCCATCCTAGCTTAATCCTGCATCCGACCGGCCGCTGTGCCATGGCTTGTTTTGCAGAGCTGCTTCCACCAAGCAGGGAATTCATTCTGGTGGGTCTCTGGGATTCCACCTGCCCTCAGGCCCAGCCAGCAGGGCCGATGCCCAGGATGATGGGTGTTGTAGTCCAAGAACATCTGTAGACCAATGCATTCCCTGTCTGTGCGTGAGTCTTGATCCCGACACCTCAAAGGGGAAGTCCACGTTTCCCTGCCATTAGTACGGCTTTCCACGAACCCTTTTTTGCTCAGCGGGGCTGTGTCTGTTCTCTTTTTCGTTCCTTAGGAAGTGACTGAATCTGGGGCACTAAAGGATACCCGGGACCCCGAGCACATACCTTGGGCACCGACCCGGCTCTCTGGATGGGTCACCGTTGCTCGGCTAGTTAAAGGTGAGATGAAGTCGGAGTTGCTTATATACAGTGCTCTCTCTCTCCCTGTGTGTGTGGGGGGGGAGGGGAGGAGATTTCTGCATAATTAGAGTTCCTGACTTACACTAGTAGCAGTGAAAAGTTTCTAGTCCTCGGTGTGGAGACATTTTCTGCTGGAAACACAAGGATGTCTCCTCATTGTGAGACGTTCAAAATGATGTGGCTGCCTGCCTGTTTGTCTAGTGATCTCTGAGGAGTTAATTTCTTGTTTCTAGAATAAAAACCTGTGCATTTAATACCTATGGGTGGGTACCTTTCAGTCGTGTCAAGTTCATCACCAGGCGGAGTGGACGACTTATCCTGATGCGGGAGAAGGGTTCTGGGGGGAAAGTTGTCTGTCTGTCCTGAGAACGTCAAGAGCCAATGGTAAATCTGGCAGAAGAGAAACTGGCTGATCTGGAGATAGAAGAAAGCTTGCTATGGGAGCCACTAACACCACGTCACCCGTTTTTTTTTCTTTCCTTTCTGGCAGATAAATCTTTGTTCTGCGCTGACTCTGAGGGTTGCCTTTGGACTCAAACCCAGCAGAATGAGGAAGGGGTGCCTCCGTGGATACCTGATGGCTGGCAGAGGAGAAAGGTGAGTCGCAGGGATGGGGAGAGAAGAAGACAGACTGTGCATTTTTAATCCCAGGTTTGTGGAGGGAATAAGGGACATGGTGGCACTGCGGGTTAAACCGCAGAAGCCTCTGTGCTGCAAGGTCAGAAGACCTGCAGTCGTAAGATCGAATCCACACAACGGAGTGAGCCCTCATTGCTTGTCCCAGCTCCTGCCAACCTAGTTGTTTGAAAGCATGTAAAAATGTGAGTAAATAGTTACCACCTCGGTGGGAAAGCAACGGCATTCCATGTCTCGTCACGCTGGCCACGGAGGATTGTCTGCGGACAAACGCTAACTCTATGGGTTGGAAACGGAGATGAGCACCGCTGCCTAGAGTTGGACATGATTGGACAAATTGTCAAGTGGAACCTTTACCACCTTGTGGAGGGAATGGGGCCCTGACCCCTTTCTCTTTGGGCCTGGTCTAGTGGCCAAGACTTCTTTAGAGTTCACTTGCTCCGGTGGTGGGAAGGGAACCAATTATTTATTTGGGGTTTTTAAAAACTGTTTAACGTGAGCTGCTTCAATGCTTTGGTGCCTGAGACTAGAAAAACGCTTTTCACGCAAGTATTCTTTTTTCCTTGATGGATGAAGTTGCCCTGAATGGCAGATTCATCTTCCTTTTTTTAAAAAAAAAAGCCAAAGGTTGATCCCTGGGACTTCCTACACCGATGCAGGTTTTCAGGGAGAGCGAGCTTCTGATTGTCCTCCTCTTGCCTCCAGGAGGCATTTCTTGAACCCCAGCAGCTCGTAACCTTGCTGGTTCTCTCGTCCCCTGTAGCTCCACAGTGAGAAAATCACCGCTCTGCATATCCTTGGAGACAAGATGATAACAGCTTCCCATGATCAGGATGTGAAGATCTGGGAACGCAGCTCAACGAAGCTGGTGAGTGACTCCCAAAAAAGGGTGGACTTTTAGGGGAGGGCTGTGCGGGGTCCCCTTCTCCCACAGCTCACGTTCTGTGTCACCCTGCGGTGGGCATTTCCTATAGAGGACAAAAAACAGAGCAACTAATATGCTCCAGTGGTTTGCAACTACAATGCACATCAATCTTGATGGTTGGTCATGCTTGCTTGGAGTTGTAGCCCAGCCAGAAGGCCCGTGTTGCCTACTTATCATCATACCAACATAAGAGAGCAATCAGGTGTAATGTTTGCATTTGAAATTGTTTGGAAAAAAACACTGGCACAATAGCAACTCCCGCTTTGCGGTGTTTACCTCTACTGTGTGTTTTCATGGGGAAATGTTCTTTTTTACAAAGCAAGAGATAAAACAAATCTTGTTTTTCACTTCCTTTCACGTAAGCAGCTACTTGCGCTCTCGTGCAGGGCCAAGATAAGGAACAATTTGTATAGTAGGACCTCTGTATCCGCAGGATTAGTATCCTGAATTCCTTTCTGAACCAACTAGTCTTTTGCGATCTGGCCATGCCAGATGGAAGCTGAAATCTATTGCATGTGTCCATTCAACTGTTCTCCATGTTTGCTTAGCCTAAGAGATATGATGTGCCGCCAAATCTTATCCAGAGTTTTCTAGGTCTTTATCATACAGACATGGGTCACTGTTCCTTCCTTTTGTGAACACTCTGGGACAGCGTAGCTTGACCAAGGTTCTACAGGGTGGCTTTTTAAATTTTATTTTGCATGAGGCAAAGTGGGGAATCAAACTCCCACTTGGTGTCTTCCCAGACATACCGTATTTTTCGCTCCATAAGACGCACACTTTCCACCCGCCTGTTTTGTGGGGGAAAAGTGTCTTATGGTGCGAAAAATACAGTATCTCCCTCACTGAATTATCCAGCCAACCTCTGTTTAACTTGACCCTGCTTCCTTCCTTCCCTGTTCTAATCAATCTTTCCTCTTCTGGTGACACAGCTGGGCCAGTTCCGTTGCCATGCTCCGGTTTCACAACTCCTGCCTTGCCCCAGGACCGAATCTCCGCTTCTCCTGATTGCTGGCGACATACTAGGCAATGTTTACTTTCTAGAGTGGAGCTGACTCTGCCATTGAGGACCCATCTGTTCCATCCATCATCTCTCCCCCCCCCCCCCCCGTTTCTAGCCCGACACCCATGGTCGGCTGGGAGACAGAGTTGTGGTTGCCTAGCAACTGCCAAGCACCACGGCCTAGGCAAAGTCAAGCAACCAAAGATAACAAAATCGTATTGAAAGCTCAGTTTACCTACACTGGTGTCTAGATCTCACTAAATCTAAGTGCACTGGCAAAGATTAAAAACACCTGTTTCAACTCCAGATCATCTCTTATTTTGTCTCTATGGAAAAGTCTCTATTCAGAGTACAGTAGAACCTCCCTATGGGCAGGATCCCTATCCATCACTTGAAAATACGAAGTATCTCCTTGGAAATGCACAACTATATCTATTTCCAGGGTGTATTTACGAGAACTGGTCACTAAAAGGAGCCAGAGGTCATGCAATGTATAGGCGTTCCATATTTCCTCCTTGTTCGTGTTGGTCTGAAACCGATTCCCTGTGAATACCACGGTCCTGATGTACAGATGTTCCTGCCTTTCTCGATCTAGTTAGCTACTTGTGCTCTGATGGTGATCCATCCTTCTGGAAGTTTTTAAAAGAATACATCATCTCCCAGCCACCCACCCCTCCGTTTTTAATATATTTATTTATGAAAAGAGCCACTGTGGGTTAGAAAGACAAGCACTGGAATTTAGACTATTTGTGTGGCAAACCCCCACCCCCACCCCATGCCTTTCAGGCCCGGTCAGCCATTACACTCCCTCAGGGTTGAGCTCCCATTTTATTTTCCCTCCAAAATTCCATGACAGAAAAGACAGGATTAAAAGGCAGGACGAATAGCATTACCTGACAGGGAGCTGTCTTTCCACAGCTCCCCCTCAGAGAGGTCAGATCTGAAATAACCCATTGATTTTATGAGGAATAAAACAGAACAGGCAAAATCCAAGTTTGCTCCCTACCCAAATTGAGAAGCACGGACAAATTCCAAACTTGAGACCACATGAGGAATTTCCTCCCACATTTACTGAAAAGTAAAGTGATAGCAGTTATTTTGTGTGTCTTCGCCACAGTAGATAATTGATCCAACATGATGAATACGAAAAGGAGCAGAAGTCCTTGATTGTGTGGCAGGTTTCTTCACGTGTCCTTCCAACACAGCACAGTGACGTTCGTCTTCTTGGAATGAACAGCGGTAGCAGCTCCCTTAAAAAGCTAGCTTTTCCACCCAGTTTTAAATAAAGGGTCAGCAATTTTTTTAAACTGGGAAGATAAGTGTGGTTGACCAAGACTGAGTCTCTCTCAGCTTGGAAGGCACTTGAGAGGTCAGGATGGAAAAAGCCACCGGTTGTCATCCCCTCCATTCTTGCGCCTTTTCACCAGAGCGGTGTAAAATTGAAGCGCACCTTGAGGAGGTATTTCATCCGCACCTGGCAAGGGTCATAGACGATGAACTCATTGTAGTTCAGTGTGTAACCATGGGGGTTCACCGCCCCAGTTTCCACAGCAGGGCCCATGGGAACCACTGCTCCATGCCTGCCAAAAAAAAGGAGAGATGCCATTTAGATCACACTGCATTTTGGCTGAAGCGTAGATTACTCAGGTTGAACATTCCCTTCTTCTGGGGGTGTCTTCGGACTGCGCAGCTTGCCCAAAGCCACCCAGGCTGGCTCTGCTGAGCTATCTGGCCAGTTCATTCCATGCTTACACCCTGAATGTTTTCAAACTAGCACCCGCTAATGAGTGAGGTACTAAAGCTATTTCTCTCAGTCAAGGTCTCCCACTCAGTCAAGGTCTTGGAGATTGTGTAACAGAAGAGACGAGCGTTTTTTAAAATGGATATTTGAAGCAACCAAACTGTTGCTACAGAAGAACGTGGTTTCTGTTCCCCTCACTAGGTATGGTACCTCCCCTACTTAGCACTGATAATACGTAGAATTCATACAAAAAAATGTAAGTGTTCATTAAATAAACACACAGACACGCCTCTGTAATGAATGTGCAAGAAATGTATTCTGGCTAAAGAAAGCACTCTTTTCCACTAATTTTCGAGGTATACAGATGTACGTACTGCATCTGCTAATCTGGGAAATGTTAAGAGTTCCACGGACACCCCAGAGCATCTTATTCCACCTCCATCCCAGCTTTTGAGATTTTCAGCCATAGTCCCTGTTACTTTCACATCTATCTTAAGAACTAGAAACTGGAGTTCTAGGCTGCTGTGGGCCTTTCCTGATTTGGGAAGCTAACCAGGATCACAACTGATTCGTAAGCGAAGAAGCCATACTAAAGGATTTGCAGACAGGGCTAGCAAACCAAAACAAAAATCTACCTTGGAAGTTCATGGACAGTTATAAGCACTGATCGTCTTGGGCTACAGACAGCTAATGATTCAGTTGGCCGTTTCCTGTACAGTGGTGCCTCGCTTAACGATAAGCTGTTCCAGGAAAACCACCGTGAAGCGAAAACATTGTAAAGCGAAAATATAAACCCTACTGAAATGCATTGAAGCCCGTTCAGTGCATTCCAATGGGGTAAAAACTCACCGTCCAGCAAAGATCCTCCATACGGCGGCCATTTTCGCTGCCTGTATAGTGAAGAATCCGTCCCTAAACACAGCGGGGAGCCATTTTAATCACCCGGCGGCCATTTTGAAACCACCGATCAGCTGTTAAAAAAAACATCATTTTGCGAAGAATAGTTCCCGAAGCAGGGAACTGATCATCACAAAGCGAAAGTCACCCATTTAGACCATTGTTTTGCAATCGCAATTGTGATCGCAAAAAGATTGTCGTAAAGCGGATTTGTCATAGTGCGGGACAATCATTAAGCGAGGCACCACTGTACTCCTAATTTTCAGTCCGGGCATCCCTTACACCCCTTCCAGAAAACTCACAGTGTGACGCTGTTGGCGGGCGATGGAGCCCATTTGCCGAGCCCCTTGGTACTGTTTTTGCCAGGCGGCAAAGTCTCTGCCTCGGGAGTCGCCTCCAGCAGTTCATTGCACGCCCCCAGAGCCACCTGCGAGGAAAGGGTTGAACTTGAGCACCGATTCGGATGTTACATGCATCACTCAGGATTCGTAACAATGCTGATGAACATGTGAATGGCCTCTCCGTGCTTTAATTCCACTTAAAGTGCAGGGGTGGGGTGGGGACGAAGGGTGATAGATAGGTTGGGGTGGGCGACTAAAGCTAAATTCAAAGTGTCTATGCGTATATGTCTCTGGGTGCTCTGCCCACTTACGTAGCAATAAACGTCTGCAGAATCTAAGGTCTGCAGGGCTGGAAGGGACCCTATGGATCATGAAGTTCACCTCCTATTAAGGAGGCACTAGGAGGAATTGGAACTCCCCACCTGAACCACTGAGCTATCCGCAGTCCAAGGACGATCTTACCTCCGAGACCAACAGCAGGCCGACGTCTTTCTCACGGGTCGCGAAGCAGTAGTTGGCGCTCTTGGAGGACATGTCGGCAAAATAGATTCCTTTCCCAAACTTGGTAGGAAGAAAGGAAAAGGTAGGTACGGAAAAACTGCCCTCAAAACCAAACGGAACTCAAAGCAACAAGTGGAGCTGAAAGGGGAGATGCGGAAGAGACTCACCATGTATCCCGTGACGGGGGCCTCCGGCGGCGCCACCCGCAACCCCTGACTCAGAATCCCCGCCCAGTTGCCCAGACGGGACCCGTGCCATAGCAGCATCCTGGGAACGGAAGGGTAAGATCCGTGAGAGCAGAGTCCGTAGCTTTGTTGAGCTCCTCCTCCTCTTCTTCGCCTGCACCTCTCTTTCCACTCACCTGTTGGGCAGGTCGGAGCGGAAGACGGAGCCCGGACTGGCACTCTGTTTGTTCAACACGAAGACTTCCAGCAGGGTCATTGTGTAATCCCGGTGAGTGGGAGCATGAGTGGACGACAGGTAGCGTTCTAGGACCTGGAGAATGAAGCAGGAAAAATCGAAAGCGTGAGAAGGGACTATCCTATCCCTCTAATAAGGTCTGCTCTTAGAAACAATATGGAGGTGAAGAACCTTTTGCCCTTCCCATGTTTGGGATGTCGGGCTGACGGCCAAGGAATCGAGCCTTTTCGGTGGTGGCCCCAAGTCTCTAGAATAAGTTACCCAACTGAGATAACGCCAGGCTCCTTCCCTCCTTGTGTTTGGGAAATCAGTGAAAACAGTAATTCAAAACAGCCTTCAACCACTGATTCTCCAGGATACTGTTAATTTTTTTCCTCTGACCCAGGACCCCGCCATCTGCAGGATTAGTATCCACGGATTCAGTTATCCACTGCTTGAAAATACTAAATTTAAAAAATCTCAGAAATACGTACAGTGGTGCCGCAGCAAGACAAATGCCTCGCAGGACAAAAAACTCGCAAGACAAACGGTTTTGGCAATGGGGTTGATGACTCGCCAGATGAATGTTCCTATGGCCATGCTTCGCAAGATGAATGTTTTCCATTTTTTGTTCCTGCCTCATGTTTGCTGATTTTTAAATGTTTTTCTATGATGTTTAAAAAGTTGAAGTTTTCTGACTGCCGCAGCAAGACAAATGCCTCGCAGGACAAAAAACTCGCAAGACAAACGGTTTTGGCAATGGGGTTGATGACTCGCCAGATGAATGTTCCTATGGCCATGCTTCGCAAGATGAATGTTTTCCATTTTTTGTTCCTGCCTCATGTTTGCTGATTTTTAAATGTTTTTCTATGATGTTTAAAAAGTTGAAGTTTTCTGACTGGAATTTCTGAAATCATCTGCACAATATGTATGGCTTTAAAGAGCACTTAATAAACCCTTTGTAAACCAAATTTGACTTTGTTCTGACTTTTTTGCCCATAGGAATGCATTAATTAGATTTCAATGCATTCCTACGGGAAAACACATTTCGCAAGATGAATTTTTCGCAAGACAACATTAACCGCGGAATGAATTAAAGAGAGAGAGAGAGAGAGAGAGAGAGAGAGAGAGAGAGAGAGTGTTGGAACCGATCCCCTGCAAATACCATGATCCTCCTGTACTCCTGGATCACCATAGAGGTGAATATATTTTGTTATGTCGGATGTTGTGGGGTTTTAAGTATGAACCTGTAAACTTCCCATAGTACTGCTTGCAACTAACGGGGCAATACCGAAACCAGTCAAAGAAATAAATGGATGAATGGTGACTCAAGACCTCTGGAAGACCATCCTTCCCCACTCCTGTCTTACGTCCCATGGTGTCCCTCCTCTTCCCTCCTTTCCAATGCACACCTGGAAGTCTGGACTGTCCTTTTCCAAGGGTTGGATCTCGCAGCCCAGCCCACGGTAGCTCCGGTCAAGTGGATGTTCCTGGTCCAGCTGTTCTGACTGCACTGCTTTGATCCCAATGCGAATCTCGCTGAGGGCCTGGAGGAGCAAAAGGAAACCCGGAGGATTGAGAAGCCCAAACTTTACAAGACTCTGGGAAGAACGATTGTTCCTTTTAAATGAACCATCTGGTACGCTAAGAAACATTAGTTTTCTGGACACACCTCCCCCTCGGAAGGTTCTGGCCAGCAGAGAATGATGGGAGTTGAAGTCCAAAATGTAACATTTCCAATCTCTCTGCTGCACACTTTTTCAACTCGCAGCTAACATATTCCGCCCTCCCCCCTGCTCCCCGGCCACCTTCACTAGGGTTACACATGTGATCTTAATTGTGTGGTTGAACTCTACTGGAAACAAGCCAATGAGAGTGCCTCTGAGCATACGCAGAGTGCTCTTCCCGATCTTCACCATCCTGGAACAAGGAAAGAGTGCAAGGGCTCAGAGCCTTCTACTTTTAAAAATAAAAATATCCCAACACAGTCACCTCTTCCTCTTGCCAGAGTGTTGCCTAGAAAACAGACTTCAGAAAAGTTACTTTTTTTAAGAGAGATGACTTACGGACTCCCTAGCCTGTGTTGGCTGGGAAGATTCTGGAAGTCCCCAAAAGAACGTCCAAACACTGCAGCGAAGCCATCTTGGCTCTGAGTGTCTGATGTGCCATAAAGTCCCTTCCAACTTAATGGTAACTCGTCTAGTAGGATTTTGGAGATCTGTGAGGATGTTCTTTCCATTACCACATCTCAGTGAGTTCCCATGGCCTAGCAGGGATATGAACCCAGATCTGCTGGGTCCTCATTCAACGCTCTCATCAACTGCAACCGGCTGACTCCGAGCAGTGCAGAGAAGCCCTTTTCTCAGTCCTTTACCATCCAAACACTAAAGCTGCTGCCGGTTTCCTAGTTCCAGATGTGCTATTGCATCGAATCCTCCTTACCTCTAGCAGCTGCGTCTTCTCTCGCAACGCCTGATCCGTGTTGATCAGTGGGGGAGTTTTCAGCCTGCAGAGTTGTAGAAAGAGAGAAAAGACTATAGGAAAAAAACAAAACATCGCCTGTATGGCTGAGTGGACATGTGCCCGAGTTTGCACGAGAAATGTGTGCAAAGGCACGTAGGTTTGCACTAGAGTCGTGCTTCCTCAGAGGCCTTTCTTTGGCTGATCCCACCAGCAGTAGTCATGAGTTGGCGACTGGAGCCACAGCGATTTCCCTGGCGGACCCCAAGCCGGATGAAAATAAACCTTCCATCTCCCTAGACAGGAGTGCTTTGGGGGGGGGGGCGCCAACTGTCTTACTCTTCTGGCACCAAGCAAGTTGGTCGTGCCCTCTCAAGGTCTGAACAGTACAGGGGAAAAGAGGTTTGAATGGTACAGAAATAATGGCACATCTTAGACCCAACCCTAAATAGCTTAGGTCCGAGTTACCTCAAAGAATCTGTATCCTTATTGGTTTTTAGCTTTAAATGTTGTCTTTTAACAAGGTAAGCCACCTTGGTTCCTTTTTTTTAAAGGAGAAAGACAAGGTAAGTAGAAATATTTTAAAGAAATTACTAAAATGACTGATCTGGAAAGCTGGTTAAAAACCAGTGACTCATGGAGGAGGTAGGAAAACACACCCGCTATATGAAAAAGCAAAAAAACAAAAAACAAAAGTGGGTTGATAGGAACCCAGACCTTTTTGGCACCCAACAGGTGCAAGGCAGGCCCAGCACCCGGCACATCTCACCCAAAATCGTGGGGGATCCGAGTGTAGAATTCATTGCAAGCGTCTACCAAGGGGCGGCCCGTCTGCTTCTGCTTGAGACACGCCTCCACCTTTTGCAGAGACTGGTAGCCGGCGCGGATCTGTTCGGCCGTCAGCTTCCCTGGAGGGGATACAGGAGAGAAGCTCAGCTGAAGGCGGCGCAGGGTGTTTTAGTCGCCCACGAGGCTGCTACGAGAGCAAAGAGGGTGGGCCTCTGTGGCATCTGGATTATCTCTCGGCTCTACTCTAGGCTGTGTTGTTCCTTGTAAAAGTCTACAGCACCCTCGCTGGGGATTGAAATGAGGAACGACCATCCTTCCCAAACATACTGACTCTGGCTCTACATTGATTATGAATCTCGTGCCTCCATCTCTTGTATATAAGAATGGTTCTACCTTTAATTCATTGCTGTTCTAGCAGAGTTCACCACTTCACCATGCAGGATGACCTCACCGCGAATAAGCCAAATTTCCATGCTTGGTGGATATACGGGGTCAGTTTTCACCTCATGACTGGGACCTGATATGGGGTTTCTCCCAAAACTAAAATTCCACTTTCAGTTCAAGCATGGAAGGAAGGAGAAAGAGAGGAGAGAGAGAGACAGAGAGTGTATTTCTTCATATGTAAGACTACTTTTGTCTAAAATCTTTAGACTAAAAATTGAGGGTCGTCTTATACACGGAAGTAAGCTGAGGAGAGAACAAAAACAAGTAGAGGGGAAAGCAGGGATCAAAGCGATCCTGCAGCGTTTTGATCCCTTTTCTCCTGCACTTGATGAGCCCCACTTATTTTTCTTAATTTTGGATTAGAAAAGGGGGGGTTCCTTATACATGGGGGCGTCTTACACAAAGAAAAATATAGCACTTTTTAAAGAAACAAGGTGTGTCCTTTTCTGCCTGATCTAAAGAGACTGGTATTTCCTGTGTCATTTCTCCCCAAGAGGGGAAAGAATGGCAGAGAGGGAATTAGGAGGCTCTAAACAAGGCGTGGCAGTGTCCACATGAAACCCACTTTGCCTTAAATGGATGTAGCTCTCCTCTCTCTCTCTCTCTCTCTCTCTCTGTGTTTGTGTGTGTGTGTGTGTTTATATGGAGTTGCAATATAAATATCTAGATTTCACTCCAAACACAGTCCTTTTTGTATCAAAAACAATCTCTCTCTCTCTCTCTCTCTCTCTCTCTCTGTGTGTGTGTGTGTGTGTGTGTGTGTGTGCGCAGTTGCATTATTAATCTCTAGATTTCACTCCAAACACAGTCCTTTCTGTATCAAGAACAAAGCATAGCAAAGTGTGCTGCTTATATACCGCCCCATAGCGCTTCAAGCACTCTCTGGGCGGTTTACAATTTAATTATGCAGGCTACACATTGGGTACTCATTTTACCGACCTCGGAAGGATAGAAGGCTGAGTCAACCTTGAGCCGGCTACCTGGGATTTGAACCCCAGGTTGTGAGCAGTTTCAGCTGCAGTACAGCAATTTAACCACTGCGCCACGAGGCTCAGCTGCCTTGAACGTTCCAGTGGAACGTTCCCCTATATTGCTACAGAAATGCTCAGCTAAGACGTACGGACGACCAGGTAAGGAACACTGACCTAAAGGGGCCTTCTTGGTATCGTACTTCATCTCCATCACCATCTCTTCCATGGTGCGAATACTGCAGATCAGCTCCACCAAGGCCTGCACCTGAGGCTCCAGCAGTGACACCCGCTTGGAACAGACTGCCTTCTGGGACGCACCTTCTTCCTTGCCCTGGCAGGCATGAAACAAACCGAGATCATGAGGCAGAGAGAATCTTTTTCACCACCAAACCTACCCCTTGTTCATTCCCCTCTCCGAGCCTCACTGCGTCATTGGCTTCGTAGTCCAGATGAAGGATATCGTATTTCCCTGGGACCTTTTGGAAGTTAGCACGCTTCAGCCACTCATTCTTGGTTTTATCCAGGAACCTAAGAAGGGGCGAAGAGAAGAAGACTGGAGTCCAGTTCAAGGAGGCAAAATGCCCAATACATCGGGGAGTTCTTGAACCGTTTTAGCTGGACTCACTTTTTGGTGAAGACATCTTTGGCTTTAGCCAAATCTCCAGCACAAACCACGAGTGAATGCTGACCGGGCTTACCCACTATTAAGGACAGAGAAGCAGAAAAGAGAGGGGGGGGAAGTGTGAATGAACGAATACAGCAAGGCCCCAAACAAGCAGCACAAAGTGTGGGATGGTGTAAAACAAAAGGAGAAATAATTCCCCCATCCTAGGAAGAGTCGAGAAGAGAGCTTCTGCCCATGGAAGACAGTTTCTGCCAGTCGGGGAGACCCACAGATGTTTGATAGCGTCTGCCAGGAAGAGACACTTTAAAATGTCAGAACTGATCTGACGGATCATGCTGTCCCAGACAATGGTCAGTCAGAAAGTGCTGCGAGGGCATGAAAGCAGTGGCTTCCCCCAAATGATTTGTTCCTATTGTACAGTGGTGGCTCGCTTAACGACGATAATCCGTTCCAGAAAAATCGCCGTTAATCGAAAACATCGTAAAGCGAAATAAAAAACCCAACTGAAACGCATTGAAATCCATTCAATGCATTCCAATGGGGTAAAAACTCACCGTCCAGCGAAGATCCTCCATACGGCAGCCAGTTTTGCTGCCTGTATAGTGAGGAATCCGTCCCTAAACATAGCGGGGAGCCATTTTAATTACCCGACCGCCACTTTGGAACCGCCAATTAGCTGTTAGAAAAACCTCATTTCGCAAAGAATCGGTTCCTGAAGGAGGGAACCAATCATCGCAAAGCGAAATTCTCCCATTTAGACCATCGTTTTGCGATCGCAAAAAGATCATTGTAAAGCGGATTTGTCATAATGCAGGGCAGTCGTAAAGCGAGGCACCACTGTACATTCCTCAAAGGTACGCTGCTCCTGAACACAGAAGTGCGGCTGTCCACCATATGATCCAAGAGCCACTTTAGGTTGTATCCTCCCCAGATTTCCCTTCTATTTTTTTTTTAAAGTCTGTATTGATCACTTTTGTAGCATCAACTAAGAAACAGAACAGTTTCTTTCGGTGAAGGGTCAAGATTTCAAGGCAGGTTTGGGCTCAGCTTTCCTCTTTGGAAAGAGATGCCTTTCTCCTCTTCGGCTTACGTAAACGCCGTCCTCGTCTCCCTTTGCAACCAAGTTGCCTCAGCCTGACTCACCGCGCCCCCAGCGCATCCATACGCTGTAGTTTGGTGCTCCATCATCCTCGAGCAACTGGATGAGATAGTACTTGTTGTTGTTGAACTGCAAGTTCGTCTGAGAGGAAGCAAAAAGATGGAGGAAAAGGGTGAAAACATCTTCCCTTTTCTAGATTATCTCCAGGCCAACTCACTCGGAGATCCTCCTCAAACACACCCACAAAAGATCCAGAAATGACTGCGCATTCTTCTGGATAAAACCCTGCCATAAGGTCACACCCCGATGGGCCATAAGGGTGGCGTTTGGAGCAATCAGACCATAATCATCCAGGGGGGCTGTTACACTTCTCCACATGCTCTCAACTGGCTACCCGGAGGTTTTTATTTTTTTATTTTGCACCAAGAGGAAAATACATGGTCCTCCCCCTTCACACAGACACACATCCATCCATCCTGCATATGGTATCAGGAACAGCACAAACATCACCCAGGGAATTTTGTGATTAAAAAGGAGTTTGAACAGAGGAATTCCAGATTGAAGCAAATTCAAGCAAAGGACAAAACCACCGTCACCCCCTCCAGAGTAGCGAGTGAGCTTTATCACCAAACTAGTCACAAGACTGGGTCCTCAATGATTTAGAGAATACAGGAAAGGGTTAAGTAAGGTAGTTCTGCCTCCTAGCACTGTTGTAGTGGTCGAAGCTCTCCCTAACATAAAGTCCTTGAGGACCGCTAAACCCGGGCAATTAAGAGTCATTAACTTTACCAAATATCTGCTGTCCTTGATATGGGTCAATTGTTGGGAGTTTTCTTAGGGGGCTGGCAGCATAACCACGTTTACCCCTACAATATTACCTTGAACACAGAGAAATGGCCAGGGTCTCACGAGAAATGGCTCGCAAGCTGCCACGGCTACCAACCAAACACCACCCGCTGCCTGAGGCCGGGTCCGTCCAAGGACAAAACCCCATCTATTGTAGACTTCGGTTTAAATATCAGTCAAAATGGCGACCACCACTCACCTGATTCAGCATCACATCATAAATGTCATCTCCTTCACAATAAACATGAGCCTTCCATGGGTGGGAAACGGGGGGACGGGCGGAAGAAAAGAAACAGGTGGGGAGAAAAGTCAGAAAATTATACTGGTGTGAGCCTTTTAATCCTCCTCATCTTTATGTACCAATTCTGACTTACAACGCCCCTTTTCCCGGATTGTCCAGGTAGAGAATACTCAGAAATGGTCTACTGTTCCCTTCGTGAGGGGTTCTCTTGGCACTGTGCCAGTCGCCCAAGACTACAGAGGCTGGCTTTACTTACAGGAGGGACAGTGGGATATTGATAGAGATGTAAAATTTCCCAAAATTTTCCATTTTTCCAGGGTAAAAAGGGGAGGAGTCCCCCCCCGAGAAGAGGTGTTTTTTCCTGGAAAAAAACTGAAATTTTTGGAAATTTTACATCTCTAGGTATTGGAATAACCAGCTTCTTGCTCCGCAGACAGATACCTAAGCCACTGAACTTCCCAGCCAGCTGCATGAGTCTTTGGGAGACCTACAAACGTTAGAGAGACCTATGTCTGAATTATTGATTTCCTTGATAGAGAGTATCATACAGTGGTGCCTCACACGACAAATGTAATTCGTTCTGCGAGAAGCGCTGTCTTGCAAAAAAAAATTCATCTTGCATTTATTTGTCTTGCAAGACATCGGTCTTGGGGGGGAACCGTCTTGCGAAGCATGGTCATAGAAGAAACCGTCTTATGAGGTACCATAGCGATCACAAAACCCAATAGTCTTGCAGGTTTTTCGTCCCGTGAAGCATTCGTCTTGCAAGTAACCATTGTATATCACAAGTCGCTCCGCCAAAATGAGCCACCTTCATGCCACTCCAACTGGCTCCTCTGAAGCACAGGGAGACCTTGACGTGCAAAATCGTCCAACTCCGAGCTTGATCTTCACCTGGTCACCAATGGCTCTTTCTGGTGTTGGGGTTAAAACTGGCCAGTCCATCGACCAAGCCGGCTTCCTATGGTTGCTTCTCGTGCACCAAAAATCTGGAGGTCAAAAATAGCTATTCACATTTGGCAGCTAGATTTGAGAAAGCGGGCCAAGGGTTCAGCCACTCCACAAAATCCCATGACCATTGTCCATGCTTTTGCTTTTGGCTTCCAGGCTGACCATGGAAGGGGCCAAGCAGAAGGGCCGGATACACTCTGGAGGCTGCTGGTTGCCGACCTCTAGTATAAAAATCTTCCCAAATGTATACTAGACAGAACAGTAGTCTAGACTGAAGGTTCTGGCTCCTGCACATCTATTCTTACATTCTTGGTGAGTTTTTGTGCCAATTCTAGAAGGTGCCTTACCTTTCCCAGCTTAGCAGTGCATTCTGGGTCCACAGGTACCTTCCCTTTCACGATCAGCGTCTTCACAGTCTCTGCAGGGGAAATACGAGGAAGAATTATAGCAGGTCCATGGAGTTTCATTTATTACACCCTCCAAACATAGCATTCACAGCATTTGTTTTTAAAAAAATAAGTTGCTAGTCCTTAAGGTAACTGAGATACTTTAAACTGCACAGTACAGGAACTTGAACTGGTACACTTCACTATAAAGTGGTGCCTCGTTAGACAGTTACCCCGCATGACAGTTTTTTCGCTAGACTTTGACTTTTTGCGATCGCTAGCTGACAATTTTGACAGCCCCCTCCGCGCTTGCAAAACAGGTGTTTTCGGGACCTAAGCTTCGAAAGACAGCGATTTAAACAGCTGATCGGCGGTTCCTGAGATACTTTAAACTGCACAGTACAGGAGCTTGAAGTGGTACACTTCACTATAATTGCTTCACATGCATCTATAGGGTCTTTGTGTTCAGTTTTTCGCTAGACTTTGACTTTTTGCGATCGCTAGCTGACAATTTTGACAGCCCCCTCCGCGCTTGCAAAACAGGTGTTTTCGGGACCTAAGCTTCGAAAGACAGCGATTTAAACAGCTGATCGGCGGTTCGCAAAGCGGCTTTCCTATGGCCGATCTTCGCTAGACAACGACGATTCTTCCCCATTGGAACTCATTAAACAGGTTTCAATGCATTCCAATGGGGAAATGCTTTTCGCTAGACAATGATTTCGCTAAACAGCGATTTCAGTGGAACGGATTATCATCGTCTAGCGAGGCACCACTGTAATTGCTTCATATGCATCTATAGGGTCTTTGTGTTCAGCTCCAATTATAAATCATGACGGATCCTTTAAATATACCTCGAGAAACAGGCTTTTATTCTTCGAGTGGCAGGGGATTAAGCTCATGAACCCACTACCCGAAGTTTTGGCTTGGCTCTTACCTGTGCTATCCCCGTCTCCCTGAGGCACTGGGGCATCGACTCTGCTTCGAATCTTCTTCGTAGGAACAGCAGCTTCCGCACTCAAGACACTGTCACCCCGCTGGGATCCTTCCTCCTCAGCCTCTGCAGCATCTGGATGACCATCAGAAGCCAGGGTTAATAAGATGCACAAATCCTCTCCAAAGGTCATTGGTTCCGTTGTCGTACTGCTCGAACAGTTAGGAAGTTTTTTCCCAATATTCAACCTAAATTTGGCTTCCTGTTGCTTGAGCCCATTGTGACATGTCCTGCCCTCTGGAATCTTAGTTTCCAAAAGTTGTTTCTTTTGCACTGCCATTCTCCAAACCCCCAACCAAACACAGCCAAAGGCTATTTATTATCATTCTCACTTGGACAAATTAAGATGTTTTATCACCAGTCTTGTTATGCGCTGTTGAGCTGCTTCAGACTTAGGGTGCCTTCTAATAACATTTTGATTTATGCGAGCTATTTAAGGAGTGGTTTTATCACTGCCACCGCCAAGTGAGTTTCCATGGTCAAGCAGACTTTGGAACCCAGGTCTCCAGAGTCATAATCTGACACTCTGCGGCTTACAACTGCCTTTCTCGCTATTTAAGGAGTGGTTTTATCAATGCCACCGCCAAGTGAATTTCCATGGCCATGGAGCAGACTTTGGAACCCAGGTCTCCTGAGTCATAATCTGACACTCTGCGGATTACACCTGTCTTTCTCAACAGTGAAAGCCCTGGGGGCCCCTGGCACATTTGAAGGAGGCCACAGACTGGAAACGATTCTTCAAACACCACTTAATAAGGTTTGTCATGTGACTTACACAATCTTAATTCTACCTATATTTCTTTCATACTATACTTACGGCCCTGGCCAAAAAATAAAAATAAAAGGAAACTGCTGTGAACGGCTGTATTACACCACACAGATTCTCTTTTTGGACTACAAGTTACGGAATCCCCTGGGGATTATGGGGCATGTAGTCCGGAGAAGTATTTTCCCCTCGCTTTGAAGGGATCTCCAGCATTGACCTTCCACCATCGTACCTGACTCTCTGATTTCCATCTGGCGCTCGAAGCCAGTCCGGCTGTTGATCTGCACCATGCGGGTCGTGTCTAGCTTGTAGCGTGTCCGGCCGACGGTCATGTGGATCGTAGGCTCCCCCTGACCATTCCTGGCGGCCTGCAAGGCCAGGCACGTGTCCGCCGGGTAGGCAACCCAGTCGCCTTCTTGATCCCCTTGCCACTGCCAGACAAAGTCTGTACCCATACCGTAGCGGACAGAGAAAAGAGACAGAGGGCCCCTGGCAGGGAGAGAAGGCAGAGATGAGACACTGGACAGACCTTCAGTACGGCAAAGGCTAAGGAACTCATGAGGACTGCCTAGTGATCCCTGAGGATTCCCAGATGTTCTTGGACTAAAACTCCCAGAAGCCTTTCTTGCTAGCTGTGCTGGCCAGGATTTCTGGGAGTTGTAGTTCACGAACATCTGGGGGCCCAAGGTGGAGAACCACTGTCTTACGGGGATGGAACAAGCAACTGGCACACAGACTCTTCCCCAAAGTGGGTCCAAAGGGTGGTCATGGGGCCCCTTCCTCCAGTCTGCAAGGTGAAATAGAAATTTTACATACAGTGGTGCCTCGCTTAACGACGTTAATTCGTTCCAGCGAAATCGCTGTAGAGCGAAAACATCGTAAAGAGAAATTAAAAAGCCCGCTGAAACGCTTTGAAAACCCGTCAACGCGTTCCAATGGGCTGAAAACTCACCGTCCAGCGAAGATCCTCCACAGGGATGGCCATTTTCGCCGCCTGTAAAGCAAGGAATACATCCAAAAACACAGCGGGGAGCCATTTTAAGCAGCCAGCAGCCATTTTGAAACCTGACGATCAGGTGTTTGCTGATCGTCGTAAAGCGAAAATCGGTTCCCGAAGCAGGGAACCGATCATCATTAAACAAAAAAAAACCACTTGAAACATCATTTTGTGATCACAAAAACCAGAGCGGGGCAATCGTTAAGCGAGGCACGACTGTATAACAATAACAACAACGTGCCATCCAGTCAATTCCAGCCTACGAGGAGCCTTTCTAAGGCTTTCCGGGTACTCAGAGTACTGTTCCCTTCTTCTGGGTGTGCCCCCGGGGACTCTCATCCCTTGGCCAAGGCTACGGAGGATGGGCTCTTCTCGTGAGAGGCACAGCAAGAAATCGAACTCCAGACCTCTGACTCCAAACTCGAGCACCCAACTCACTGAGCTACTCAGCCAAACAGAACAGAGAACAAAAAAATGGAAAAGAGCATTCACTCACAGGAATCCTGCTCTCGGACAGCGGTGGCCACGCGGGTTTCCTCCCCAGTCTGTTTGTCCTCGCGCAGCATCCTGCGGAGGTCCACGCAGGCATCCTCGAGGTCTGCCGAAACCTTCCCCGCTCTGCAGGAAACACCAACATCCACATGATGCCAATGACCGGTGGCCAATCCCAACGTGCCACTTCCGTAAGGTCAAGCCAGAGGCTCTCCCCAACTCACCGAGCTGCCTGGCTCAGGACCTCACTCTGCGCAGGCGTAAACTGCTGCCACCGGTTGCCTCCGGTCTCCCACTCCCAGCGCAGTTCCAGATCAGCCCCCGCAGCAGTGGGCTCCCCAGTCTGGGCTTCGGAGCCCTTGCGTTTCCGTCCCATCCTCGAGGTGGAGAGGGAGCAGTCCTTTCGCGATAACCTAAATATTCAGAACAAAACGACCCATCGCGTGTTTTCTTGGCAACAACGGTTCTCAGATTCTTACTCCCAGTTACTGGCACAAGCATGGGTCCCAGTGAAGGCCCCCCCAAATCAGACAGCATGCTTGGGCACATGCCAGGAACCTGACACATACAAACAGCCAGTGATTTCCTGCCAAGAGTTATGCAGTTTTCCTAAGCAAGTGTAAACCTGCAACAAGATTCTGGCTTATACACATTTTCATTACCCTCGTGCAAAAAGGGAGAAAGGAAAACAACTGCACACCCTGAAACACAAGAGGTATAGAGATCTCACAAGCTACTGTTTCACACCATGGTGTTCGCCCTTTCTCTCTTATGCATGAGCATCTGCATTATTTATGCCAGATTTGCAAAACGGGGCTCTACCTGAATTGGAGGAGGGGGACTCATCTCTAGTGCAACGCAGGCCACTCCACAAGGCAGGGTTACTGGTTTCTCTGTATTGCATTTTCAAGAGTAATGATTTGAGAAGGCAGGCCAGCAAAATCAAACGCACCAACGTCTCACAATTTCAGCGTTGACACACGTGTGTCTCTGTCCACCCAAAATAACACAGCAGGCTTTTCCAGTGCCCAAACAATGCACGCCCCCATAAATCTGCTATCTAAGCCACACTCTGCTGTTTTTCTACATATCAATCCCTTTACAAGGTATTTACCTCTCGTCACCATCAGCTAGCAACATGTTTTCATTTGTGACCCACAGATTGATTTGCTTGTACAGTATTCTGGATACACAAGCGAATTAACAATGGCCCGTAGAGGTTTAAGGTAGGGTAGTGGGTTTATAGTAGGAATAGATGATGATGAGTGACCCAATTAGTGAGTGACATTTAAAGGTCATTTAAAGCAAAAGTGAAAGCATCAGGTCTCTCCAGGAAGCCAAATCTTGGGTGCAACACTATCCTCCCAAATCTTAATACCATGTTTCCTCATTTAAAGCAAAAGTGAAAGCATCAGGTCCCTCCAGGAAGCCATATCTTGGGTGCAACACTATGCCTCCCAAACCTTAATACTGTACCGTGTTTCCCTGAAAATAAGACAGGGTCTTATATTGATTTTTGCTCCAAAAACGCCTTATGGCTTATTTTCAGGGGATGTTTTTTTTTCATGTACAGCACTCCGCTTATTTTCAGGGGATATTTTATATTTTTAATCTACAACAATTTACATTTATTCAAATACAGTCATGTTATCTTCTTCTGGTGGCTGCACAAGGGTGGAGGGCTGGATTTCACTTAACTGGGGTTTATTTTGGGGGTAGGGTTTATTTTACTAGAATCCTGAAACATTATATTAGGGCTTATTTTCAGGTTAGGTCTCATTTTGGGGAAAACAGGGTACCTATAGCAAGCTGATGTGCGAGAGTAAAGGGGACTATTGATTTAATTGTTTAATTCTTTTTAAATATTTGGATACTCATCTCTTTTTTTAGTTTTTAAATGTTGTCTTTTAATTGTAAGCCTCCTTGGGTCCTTTCGAGGAGAAAGCAAGAAAGCAAACAAGCAAGAAATATTGCGACTAGCAGTAATTAGCCCCTATGCATTTATTTTATTTTAGACCCACTCCTGGCATTCAAACGACGTTCCGTTTTTGTTACAGAACTTAGTTCTCCCAGCACTGGACACTCTGCTTTCTCCACCCGTCCTGTTCCTCAGACTTTTTTTTCTTGATTTATTGTTAAGACATCCCCCATGCCTTATTTATTAATTTCAGCATGATCATCTTCTACCTCCTTCTTATTGAAATCTGTCCCCTCAGGTTGCATATAGAAGAGTTGCCACATTCTGCACTGAGCTACAGCCCCAATACCCCAAGACGACCTGACTCAGCTTTGCAACCCACCTGATCCTTATGAATTTCCTGGATATATATTTTTTTTGCAAAGCACCGCTTCCAACACCGCCTCGTTCCTGCCGGGTCGCGCGCGCTCCCGGGAACGTTCTACGCGGGCCCGCTTCCTCTCCGCCCCCTCATTTGCATGCGCTTCGTTTGCATTTCTTGGAAGCCCGGCCAGGAAGCCTGCGCCCTCGGGCAAAGGAAGGCGGGGCATCGAGGCTGATTAGAATCTCGCGCGTTGATTCGCTAACACGCTCCCGAGAGGAAAACGCAGGAGAAAGGAGGAGACATGCAAATTAAACGCCTTGCATGACGGTCGCTGCTCGCTAGATGGATTTTCCGATCATCCAAGCATACTTTTTAAAAAAGAAATCAACTATTTAAATATCTAACTTCCCATTTCAGCATTGGAAATTGTGGATTACTGAAGAAAAAGTGCACGAACTGAATCTCACCCTATCCTGTATTTATATTTTCAATCATGCTTTATATACTGACGTAAGCCAAATACTTTCTAGCTGGGAGGAAGCTCTCCGTAGAGGTCACGTGCTGGGTGTGCGTCACCCTCGAAAGCGCCTCTGGGAAGGTCTGAGAGAAGGGCCGTTCAACCACCCTAGCAGGGTGCCGCCTTCTGAAGGCGGGTGAGTTCCCAGTAATGTGGGCCTCTAGCCGAGCCCCCTGATTGGAGCAAAAGAAGTAGGAGAGGCGGGACTTTCCCTTCCTTCTCCTACGGATGCTTCCGTGGCTGGCTTTGGGGTTTGGGAATGACTCACGGCCGGCGTCCATGAGTACAATGGGCAGAGGTGAAGCAGCACCGCCCGCTTCATAACCCAATTCAGACTAGTCTCCGCCCAGCATCTTTTCTGCACACGTGGGGATGTGTCATTTTTGGGGGCGACTTCCAGAATTGCCCAGGCGGAGTGTCCAACTCGTCTCGTGTTCGTGTTATTGCCTGCCCGGTTTTTTTAAAATGATAATTTGCCCTTATATTTTGGATAACCAATGGTTTGACTAAGGGCTGTTCATAAAGTTCTTGGTTTTTGGCTTTGTTCGAGAGAAGGAGCTTTAAAGATTATGACTCTGCCTCCCCCCAACTTTGAGCCTCCAGATGTTCTTGGACTACAACTCCCAGAAGCCTTCGCCACCACCTCTGCTGGCCAGGATTTCTGGGAGTTGAAGTCCAAGAACATCTGGAGGCCCAAGGTTGGGGACCACTGAATTATGAAATAAATAAAGATTATTGGGAAAGGGAGGCCCAAAGTTGGGGACCACTGAATTATGAAATAAAGATTATTGGGAAACTCATAACAACCAAAGTTTGTTTTTAATTTCTCTTTATTTTTATGCTGTGTAAGGTGTTTATACCCCTAAGCTCCCTTCTGGCATTAAGAATTAACCAAGTTTTTTTTTGAGGACTACAAAAACCATGGAAATCCTTCCAGAAAAAGAGAAGTCTCCGTGTTCTAATGTGATGTTCTTTCGCAAGAACAGTTTTAGATGCATACGGTTTCCCCAAAAATAAGACCTAAACCAAGACCTAGTTAAATGAAACCCTTCCCATTGTGAAGCAACCAGAAGATGACATGACTGTACAGGAAAGAAAGAAAACATTTTATTATTTTTTTATTTATTTGATTTATACCCCGCCTATCTGGACTACTTGTCCACTCTAGGCGGCTTACAATATAGGATAAAACAATAAACTCAAGAATGTGCATAGTCGTTCAATAACAATTGTAATAACAATTAGCCGCCTAGAGTGGTAACTCTCAGTCAATTGTTGCTTTCTAAGAAAGAAAGAAAACATTTTATTATTTTTTTATTTATTTGATTTATACCCCGCCTATCTGGACTACTTGTCCACTCTAGGCGGCTTACAATATAGGATAAAACAATAAACTCAAGAATGTGCATAGTCGTTCAATAACAATTGTAATAACAATTAGCCGCCTAGAGTGGTCTTAATTGACTAGGTAGGTGGGATATAAATAAAATGAATAAATAAAAATAAATGAAGAAATAATAAAGTAAAAGGAAAAAAATAAAGGAAAATTGAAAGAAATCAGGTATTGACTGGAGGGAAGGCCTGGATGTATAACCATGTTTTTAATTGGGTTTTAAACATCCCCTGAAAATAAGCCCTAAGGCGTTTTTTGCAGCAAAAATTAATATAAGACCCTGTCTTATTTTTGGGGAAATGCGGTAGGAAAGATGAACTGTTGGTGAGGCCAAAAAAAAAAAAAAAATTATAAAAAAAATTGCATCAATCAGGAATATTGCCATTGGCAGCCAGCCAGCACACCTAATACGATTTACAGGCCCAAAATATATATGGAGAAATGTATGATTCATATACAGATGCAGAGATAGAAACTTTAATAACAGCCTTAGAACTACAGAGCTGGAAGGAATCCTTCAGATTGTTCAAGTCCAGTTGCTGGATATATACAATTCATGCCACAAAAGAAAATGCTGGCTGAAGGATTCTGGGAATTGTAGTCCAAAACAGTAACGTTTCCAAGCTCTTCCCAGACAGAATAGTTTCTCCCAAACTTTGGCCGGACAATGGGATCTCATCCTTCCCGTTCCTTGCCTACCTCTGTAACATATGGTCCTGAAATATAATGTGCAGGCACTAAGCATGGAATGGGGAATTAGTATTATTGAAATATGACGTCGGCAGCCGTAAGGGCACATAATCCTGACAGCTGGGGCCTGCCAGCGTGCGGCCGCATTCCAGCAAGTAAGAAAATCTGACGTAACCATGAGAGGGATAACACCTGAGTCTTATGATGCCTCTTCCAGCCACCAGGTTTCCACGGCATTTCTGCAAGAGGTCATCATGCCAGACGTCCTTGTCCCACAGCTCTAAGGTAAAAGAGTCGGAGCCGGTGAGTGTCACGGCTCCAAAGTCCAGGATTTCAGACCACTGGGGGTTGTTATCGTTGCGTACGATCGCGGTCCTCTTTTCCTGATCTTGGAAGAAAACTTTGACGAAGGCATCGGTGGCGGTAAAGTGGTCTCCCCAAAGGTTGGCGCCACTGTGAACGTAGAAGCTGAGATACGCCATCCCCCTTTCCCTGGCACAACACATGTGGTTGGTGATGGAGTCCGCCTGGCACATGCATGTGCAGCTCTCGTCCGAGCTCCAGGGTGGGCATTTCTGTGGACAGTCTCTCCTGAGGGCCCTCCGGTTGATGTGATCCGCTATGGCTTGCTTCAGCAAGTCTCTTCTTGGGTCAGTCCGTTTCAGCAAGGTGTGCAGAGGTAGAAGAGAATAGGAGACCAGTCCAGGATTCACCTTGGCACTCTCCATCCATTCCAAAAACTGGGGGATCTCTCCGGTTGTGGAGAACGTCATCTCCACCTGCTTGTCTCCTCCTACCACTTCTATGCGCTGTCCGGCGTTGGCGTCGTAGAAGTTCCCATGGGCGTTGCTCCCCCAGAGCTTCTGGCACTTGGAGTTGAGGACAAAGGACCCAAACAGCCAGTCGTGTCCCACAGAAGTCTCCATATTCAAGCAGTCCTTGAGTTTGGAAGCTGTGAACCCCCACAAGGCCATTGTGCAAGTCCTCATGGCTAGCAGGTGGCGTACTCGTCCACCCAGCTGCACATGGCTGATATAGTGGGTGCCATAGGTGTTGATGAAGTGTTGGTATTCCTCAGAGTTGTGCTTTCTTGGCAGCCTGTCCACAGCACGGGAGAAATCATGGGCCAACAGAGATGGGCTCTGGAGAAGTCTCAACCTGCTCAAGAAGAGAAGCAGAATGATAAAAGCTTTTTTTCTCTCTCTCTCTCTCTCATACACATGCTCATTGCACACATGAGGACAAGTTAAGGTTCCCAGACTCTGTGTATAAAACATTCTCCCCATAGAAAAATGCTGCAGCTGGTAAATTGAATTTTGACTGGTGCTTTGTTTCTGAGTCCACTTTGACACCAACAATGCACAAAACAGAGCTTGACTGAGAAGGACTTCTTGCATTCCTTCTCGGTAGTCAGGATCCCACCATGATTTATTGTTGCTCCTGTTCTGCAAGTGACTTGTTGTGTGTTATTATTATATTGCATTGTTGCTAATATCAGAAACGGCAGGAAGACAGAGAAATTAAGGAGAATGCTTTATCATGCCCTCTAGTAGCCAGTTCTGATATTGCACCTTGAAAATATTAAAACTAAATAGCCAGTTCTGATATTGCACCTTGAAAATGTTAACAACAAAACTAAAAAAAATACAGTATTTTTGTTGCCACAGGCTTGATGTAAGAGAATGAGTAATGTACAATTTTGGGATTGGCCATGTTAATGATTGTAGATGATTTTAACAAAAATATAAAAATAACATGTCGCTAATGTGATATTAATGGGTAGCAATTAATTTATTGTGTGTTTTATTAGAATGCTTAATATAAATTGCCAAATTAATATTTTTCTGTTGCTATGTCTTTTTAAATTGTTTCCAACTTATGGCAAACATAATAGGGTTTTTGAGGTATGAGATGTTTAAGGAACCCAGGCCTTCTAAGTCCAGTCTAACACTTTCTTCACTACACCACACTTGCTCTCACAAATTAATATTAATAGTAACAAATTAGCTTTCCTAGGGAAAGGAAATGATGCACAAGGAAATTGCCCATAATTGATGTGTCATTCTGGGATTCATCATTGCATGCTGGTTGAGTAGCTTAGCATATGACCAGGAATCTTAGAGGGAACTCATTAATTGGCAGCATTTTGCTGCTAAGCGTTATGTACACTATTTCCCTTCTGTAGGCATAACTACGTAACAGGGGTTTCTCCAGTGTTTCTGTGATGCTTTGCTTCTCCCCAGCTATTTTGCTGCTAAGCGTTATGTACACTATTTCCCTTCTGTAGGCATAACTACGTAACAGGGGTTTCTCCAGTGTTTCTGTGATGCTTTCCTTCTCCCCAACTGTTTGCGTACTGTGATTCTTTGCTTGTGGCAATAATTAACATCGTTATGCGAGGCTCCACTGTACTGTGATTCTTTGCTTGTGGCAATGGGTTTATTGATGCTCACCGGTAGTACTTGCAGGAGACCTCTTGCCTCAGAAAGACATGCCTGTCCTGCCGAGATTTCTTATGTGCATAGATGGTCATCTGGGACTGAGATCCAGCGAAGGCCACCTGAGCTTTGGAGAACCCCAGGCTGTTTGTTGCCTCTGTGGGCAACCCCAGCTCTATTTTCCAGTCATTGATCACCTCCCTGGCCATTGCGTTTGCCACATCCATGTCTGAATTCTCCACGGAACTGCTCGTCTGCCGGTGGCAATCGCTGTGCGTCCGCCAATCCACGCCTGCCAGGGGGAGTTTTTGTAGCTGCCCATCCATCAGAGGGTTCCGGCACAGAGTGCATGTCCCATTTGGGCCCTGCCATCGGCTGGTGTCCACCACATAAGCCCCCTTCCGGTCCAGAGTGGTGATGTCAACCCCCTCCCCAATTAAATTATGTCCAGGCACAAAGGCGTTGTGCTTCCGGCAGACGAATCTGGGGAACACATGGCAGTGACTGGAGTCTGCTGATGATGGGAGAAGGAATAGAAATGGAAGGTAGGATGCTAGAAAGTGGTGCTGTTTCAACATGGCTGCTCTTCTCTGCCACCCTGGGGGAAAATAAGAAAACCATTAGGGGTTTAATTGTATTCTCAAAGGCTGGTTTAGGTATCTGCCTAATAACCAGCCACAAGGACCAGTGATCACTGCACACAAAAGACGAGCTAACAACACCCATCAATCACGACGACAGACCATCTCTCTCCGCAATCACAACAGTACACCCATAACAAACAACACCCTGATCACCGTAATCACCCAGTCTCCTGAAAAGGACAAAAAGCTGATCCCACAGCTACAAATATTCAACTATCCCACACACTACAGCAGAACACAGACAGAGTTCTAACTCCTGTCCTCTGAAGATGCTGGCCACAGAGACTGGCGAAACGTTGGGAAGAAAAACCTTCAGAACACGGCCAAAGAGCCTGAAAAACCTACAACCACCACCAGAACGAGTTTGTTTATTAGTGCATTTATTTACTTTTGCACCATGCTTTTTCCAATGACAACCTGCTTTGCCCCATCGTATCACTTTTTGGACCCACCCATCTCCTTTCATTTCTGCTGCTGAGTAGGGTTGAGCCTGGTAAGTATTTGGATGTTGACCACTAGCTATCAAGGATGTTGGCAAGACTTTGGGTCTGAGTCTTTGATATCCAGTTCCAAGCCCCAAGTCCTTATTGAAAAACAAGCTTT